ATTATCTTTGATCAATCTGTCTGAGAACCATGATTTCAGAATAATTTTTGACCAACCTGTCCATATCATACTGTTCCTTTAAGTTGAGTTCTGTTCTGTTTAGTTATTGTACCTTTAAGTTGAGTTCTGTTCTGTTTAGTAATACTGTTCCTTTAAGTTGAGTTCTGTTCTGTTTAGTAATATTGTTCCTTTAAGTTGAGTTCTGTTCTGTTTAGTTATATTGTTCCTTTAAGTTGAGTTCTGCTCTGTTTAGTAATACTGATCCTTTAAGTTGAGTTCTGTTCTGTTTAACAACACTGATATGTTCCTATAAGGCCCAAGTTTAGTTTTTTGGAAGTCCATATTTTATTGTTTCACTTTATAATATAATATAAAATAATTTTACAAAATTTCAAGAAATAATGATGATCAAACCAATCACATTAACCGGGCTTGATTTCATTTCCAAATAATTCATAAATCTTATTTTCTCATGTCTTAAGAGCGGGAATTCCCAGTTTCTATTTAGGACGTCTAACTTGTTCCGAGGTTAAATCAAATGCCAATTCAACCCTGTTTCTAATTTTTTTTTTTTGGGATATCCCAGTTTAGAATTTTAACTGGTCAGTTGAACTGTTCACTCAGAACTGGTCATGAAATTCAGTTACGTCGTCTTGAAGAATGTTTTTGACGTTTTGGATAAAAAAAGGCATTTTAAAATGTATACATATACCATGTACAAAATTTTTGAAAATTCAAAATAAAAATAATTACTTTAGCGCTTGTTTTTTAACTAAAAAGATGTTTTTCTACATAAAGTTTGAACCCCCTTGGTTTCATGTGTTCGTATAAAAACATCTATGCATGAAGCATATACGCACCACGTGGCTCACCTTTGTATAAGCAACGTGCCCATGCTTGGGCAAGGTGCCCCCTCATCTGAATAGATACAATTGTACATTGCAACCTTAATTACACTTCAATAATACCGCAAACTCATCTTGTCTCTTGTAGCCTGTAATAGTTGGTATCATCGTCGTATTTCTTGCAATCCATCTATCTCAACCTGCATAGTCTATTTATCTATCTATCGCGTTGCATTATCTATCTATCTATCTTTTTATTTGATTTTGTAGGCAGCAGCGTCACTTTAGGTTCTAAACCTTCGTAGTTCTTCAGTTCATGATCAGATTTTATACTGTTAACAGTAGCCATTCAGGTTCAATAGATATTCATTTATATTTATTTATATTAATTGATATTCATTTATATCCATTTTTATTCAATTAAATTCATTTATATTCACTTATTCATTTATTCATTCTGTCATTTTTGTTCATTTATTCATTCATCCAGGTTCATTAGACATTCATTTATATTCATTTATTCAATCATTCAAATAGTACATTTCACTTGAAAATAGTATAGTGCAACATAACAGTGAATATGTAAAATAATACAGTATGTCTGTAAAATAGTACAGTATGCATGTGAAATAGTAAAGTGTATTTATTAGATAGTACAGTGTATGTGTAAAATAGTACAGTGTATGTGTAATATAGTAAAGTGTATGTGTAAAATAGTACAGTGTATGTGTAAAATAGTACATTGTATGTGTAAAATAGTACAGTGTATGGGTAAAACAGCACAGTGTATGTGTAATATAGGATAGTGTATGTGTAAAATAATACAGTGTATGGGTAAAACAGCTCAGTGTATGTGTAATATAGGATAGTGTATGTGTAAAATAGTTTAGGGTATGTGTAAAATAGTACGGTGTATGTGTAAAATAGTACAGTGTATGGGTAAAACAGCTCAGTGTATGTGTAAAATAGTACAGTGTATGTGTAAAATAGTACATTGTATGTGTAAAATAGTACAGTGTATGGGTAAAACAGCACAGTGTATGTGTAATATAGGATAGTGTATGTGTAAAATAATACAGTGTATGGGTAAAACAGCTCAGTGTATGTGTAATATAGGATAGTGTATGTGTAAAATAGTTTAGGGTATGTGTAAAATAGTACGGTGTATGTGTAAAATAGTACAGTGTATGGGTAAAACAGCTCAGTGTATGTGTAATATAGTACAGTGTATGTGTAAAATAGTACATTGTATGTGTAAAATAGTACAGTGTATGGATAAAACAGCACAGTGTATGTGTAATATAGTATAGTGTATGTGTAAAATAGTTCAGGGTATGTGAAAATAGTATAGTGTATGTGTAATATAGCACAGCATATGTGTAAAATAGTTCAGGGTATGTGTAAAATAGTACAGTGTATGTGTAAAATAGTTTAGGGTATGTGTAAAATAGTACAGTGAATGTGTAAAATAGTAAAGTTTATCGTGAATATCAAATGAATTGTGTACCGCGTGAAATGACCTTGATTCTCTGACAGTTAGTTGCCTTTGTTTCTATGCAACTAATCTAATGAACGGAATGAGGAGACTTTAATGCCTGAAATTGTCTGCTTTAATTCATTTTATTAAAAAACGAGGAAAGACGAGTAGAAGAGGGGGGAATATTTACAGGCTAATCTTTTTAATATTTTCCCGCCGCGCGCCCCCGTAACCCGTAATCAGTTGCTTAAAATAGGGAAATCCCCGTTTTCCCAGGAATTCCGGTTTTTTGCATATTAAATATATACCGCCTCAAACAAGTTCTTCATTGCAACATTAAGATTGCCAAAGAGGGTTAAAGTTAGGTTTGAGGCAATCTATTTACACAGCTTGTAGCATACCTTACTAGTAACAGTTAAGCCATTTCTTAACCTTTTTAAAAGAATATTCAAATAAATTCAAGCTAGGGAAAGGAGGGATTGAGATTTTAAGAGTGAAGTCTTTTTTTTTGGGGGGGGGGCTAGGAAATTAATTAATGTTAGTAATGTACATTGATAAATACGCTTTTAAAACAAGGAATTTGCTTCAAATAATTTTAAATAATTTCTTTTCATCAGAAATCATTTTAAAGAAGTTTTTAATCGACCGAGCAGATAAACAGTCTTCTCAATAATAACAAAATATCTCACATACCTACCATTAAAAAAATAGAAAATGTTCTAGTTGTTAGACTTTTCGGAGTACTTTTTTTTCGTTTGAATAATATTGAAATAGCTCTAATTATTCAGTTAGTTTTGATAAACATGACTATTTGCAGCAAATAGATTATCAAGTACAATAGGTGGCAACAGAGAAATGGATTAATTATACCCGACGTCACAAGTGTCAAATATAACAAAGAAAACGAAATTTTCTCACATTATTGGACATGTTTTTTAAGATTACGTAAAAAAGTGTAAAAACAGAAAATAAGTAACACCATAAAATTGCACTTTTTACTGTAAGATAAGCTCTTTATTCTAAAATTATCATGATTACTAATAATTTTGTCGGACACAAAACTGAGTTGAAGTTGAATACTAAATACTGAGTTGAAGAATACAGCTGTACTGAGAGTGCACAAATACTACGTTGCCATCTACTGTACTTAACAATCTATTTGATTTGCAGACGACCAGATATTGAATATGCATTCTTTTTTTAAATCAGTTCAAATACAATCCAGAACAGTTAACAGACAGTAGCGAGACATTAGCTCTCTTGTCCCCTCTCTGAGTCATGCATTGTATATAAAACAAATAAAGAATATTAAATAAGTATCAACTATTTATACGAATGCGTCGAAAAAAATCGATGATCATAGGTTTTAATATCTGAATGATTTGTTTGGAATAAAATGAATTTTTTTACGATCCGAGTCGAATATTGGAACTTTGTGTATTTGTGTTCTTCGGTATGAGTAGTTTTTAACAATTTTCTCCTTATAGACGCAACACATAGATCAAGTAAGATTAGTAGTAGCTATCACCATCGAATATTTTTGATGTAAGCATATACCCTCTTTCAGTTTTTTGTAAACACTCTATTTAGTTCCCAGACCCCGCTGGCTATTTTTCCTCTAACAGAGTAAACTTTCCCCCAAAAAATTATCTGAAGTTGAAATATTCAATTCTCAATTATTTCCCCTAATACAATTTGTCCAAATAAATATGAAAATTGAAGGACAAATTAGGGACATAAGTTTATAAGGAAAGGCTAAACATCTTTTATTATTTTTATCTTTTATATTAACATTAATAATTTATTCTTTAAACAATAGTCTATTTCTGGTAATAAAAAGCAGACCATAGAGCACTATGGGAATTATATACAGTGATCAGCGTTTATATCAACACAATGATGACAAGTTTTCAATTTAAGTTTTGGTTTCTAACAAGCATTTTTATTAAATTACAAGGTTACAAGTAAGTTGACACCTTATCTTTGCTTCCATATTTGTATGTATCAATGATGCTTGAAAGCCTGGTACAAATTGAAATCTGTAAATCGAATGCGGTCTTTATTGTGTTGATAAAAACGATGACGACTGTATGGTTATTGTTTCAAGAATCATACTTGTAGAATTAGGTTCACGAATAAATGCAGCAACATTTCTCAAATATGTGCCATTTTCGACTTATTTAGTTAATAGCGGGACACAATACGATTTTATTTAGTTAATAACGGGACACAATACGATTTTATTTAGTTAATAGCGGGACACAATACAATTTTATTTAGTTAATAGCGGGATACAATACGATTTTATGTATATTTTGTATCATTCAATTATTTCAAAGAACAATTGCAACAATTTGATTAAATAAACAAGCTCTTTATTTAACTTATTTTCAATAAAGTGTGCCCCAATATAAATTAATAAAGGATTACAAATCTCTTACATTAGTCTATATTTTCAATTCAGATCTTTTATTTGGAAATTTTATCATATCGGGGAATCCCGGAATCTGGGATAATAAGATAGGAATCTCGGATAATAAGATAGGAATCTCGGATATTAAGATAGGACGAAAGAAAGTTTTTTTTTCTTTCAAAACAATTTACACGCTTATCTTTATGATAAAGCTCTTAGCTCTTATATATATCTATATGTTAGATATAGCTGGCTAAACAGCTGAACCAAATTGTCTGAAATTTTTTTAGGGAACCCCGGGAATCCTGGGGTGACATAGACCATGCGCGGGTAAACGGTGGTAATAACTATGAGTAACCTAGGCAACACCGGGCAATTCGGCTAGTTTGCACTTTTTTCCCAGAGTCCTACTGTGCAAAACACCCCGGAAAGGATGTTTAATGAGCCCAAAACTGCTCTACAAGATGAATTTAAATGGTGTAAACTAAGCCGGTTCTTCATTACGCAAACATCGATAACAGACGCACGATACACGAACGCACGCACTCTCAGGGACTGCCATTTTAACACACGTGAGAGACTAGATTCGTCTCACTTGGTTTCAGTCTTTACTAGAACCAAGGAGAGATAACTTATCCAAACCGATCAGTCGTAAACAAGATCATAGTTAATTCTGTTCTAAACTAAACCTAGAAAAAGATATCTAAACCGAGCGAAAAATATCGTGATGGATAAAATTATGAATTTACTACGGGTGTACTTTAACCAAGGAGTTTAAGATTTCTCCCCAACATGTCAAATACATCAAGGTAAAAATTAAAAAAAACAGATTTATAATTGATCATTCTTCAAAATGGGGGGGGGGGGGTGTCAACCACCTAAAAACTCTTAAAACGCTAAAACGAAAGAAAGAAAGAAAGAAAGCTAGATAGATAGATAGATAGATAGATAGATAGATAGATAGAGGGATAGATAGATAGATAGATAGATAGATAGATAGATAGATAGATAGATAGATAGAATGGTTGAATGAATAGTGCCTGGAAATCCCAAGCACTTTTCAAATATCATTCAGTTTCCCAGCTAACCTTTCTCCTTGATTCGAGCAAAGAGTAATCAACCTTTTTCTCTCTTTCTTTCTCTTTTTAGAAACCTTCATGTTTCGCAGATTTGATTTAGTCCACACAAGTCTACTATAGTCTACACAAGTCTACTATAGTCTACACAAGTCGACAATATTCATCTTTAGGTTTAGTTGAAACAACCTTATGATCTTTGCTCGGTTTAAATCTAGTCGATATTTATAAATTGCTGATAATATTATTTTTACACTTTCCGCTTCATATCATTAAAAGTGTAATTATCATCTTTAGATTGATTTTATCGTATTTTTTTAATGACTCGGCGTTTTTTTCATTAAAATTCCACTTTAATCCAGAACTAGTCAAACCTCACAAAAAAAGTATTTTAACTATTTATAACACTGTCATTTTGGTTCGCAGTTCTATAAAGTTTTCGGACAGAAATTTTCTCTTTATCGAGAAAGTTCAAGTCTAGATAAAAATATAATCTAAAAAGGCGAGAACCTTCGAGATATAGAGAAAATTTAAGTCCAAAAAACTTATAGCACGTCATGCCAAAATAATAGTGTTATAGATAATTTTATGAAACGTTTGTGTATTTGTCTTATTTCAATTGCTATTCCTAATTCAAACAAAGCAGAAGTCAAAATATAAAGTTGATTTCAATTTTATTTTCATTTCAATTGAAAAAAAAAATATTTTGGAAATATCTTAAATTTTTTGGAGAAAATCCGGGCACCAATCAAAACTTTATAGCACAATGATTACTTTATAGCACGTTCACGATGAAGGATGGAAGAATGATAATGTACACAAAAGTTTTATAAAAAATAAAACTACCATATCATCATATCTAGTCTGTATCAAAATACAACATATTTCAATCAATTTGAAAACTTGTGCATGAGATAAAAAAGCATATTAATTAGCATCTAAGATTTCACAAGAATATATCCAAAGATTTGTTTGATTCTAAATGGTTTTGGCGCCAATATTCACGGGATAAAAAAAAATTATATTATTTTTGAAACTTCTTTCTTAGTCCTTGGCCCTTTTAAACTGTGGTGGCCGGTGAACAGTTGACAAAGCCTTGACTCCGAATCCTTTCAATAATTATCGCTTTGTCCAGATTTTTCAGGAGATAACATTTTCTTTATCAAGTTTGTGTTTAGTTTTAGGAAATCAGTTCATTTTTATCTTTAGCACAGTGTACAATTCAGGTTGTATACTGTACAGTTTCCACTCTAATGAAATGTGGAGTGAAAATGTAAAAATTTTGTATTTACTTTAATATCAACAAGTTTGATTTTAACAAACTGATTTCATGAAAACAAAGAACTGCAGATGTATTAGTTTTCTGGACAATTTGGACAATTTATACAATTTATAGAGTGCATCCATATTTCTTTTTGGACAATTAGAACAATTTATACAGTGCATCCATATTTCTTTTTGGACAATTAGAACAATTTATACAGTGCAACCATATTTCTTTTTGGACAATTTGAACAGTTTATGCAGTGCAACCATATTTCTTTTTGGACAATTTGAACAGTTTATACAGTGCAGCCATATTTCTTTTTGGACAATTAGAACAATTTATACAGTGCAACCATATTTCTTTTTGGACAATTTGAACATACCACGAAGAATCAGAATTATATTGAGATGAGGATCTAAGTTTAGATCTGTTGTAAAAAGATACGTTTGTCTCGTTTTAGTTTACATTCTCTCCTAGATCAAACCATCGTAAAAAGTAATGAAGCAAAACTTTTTAAACTTAGATAAAGCCGGATAAAGTCTGGGGCTTGTTCTCGAATTTGTTTATAAATTGGGGATAAGAAAAGTTGGTTCTGAATACGTGTACACTGTACAGTGTTATTAAAGTTTGTATTTTATCTTCACAAAATTATCTTGTTGAGGAATTGAGCTCAAATTTTCTCACCTGTATATCTTGCAACCTGATGGTGTAAACCTTTAATATAAACACTTTTTTTATCAAACATAATTCATAGTTTGAAATATCAAAGGTCTACGATTTTTTTAATTTCTGGTTATTGATCAACATTGTGACAAATATGTTTTTTTTACAAAGAAAGCTTTGATATTTGATATCTTTGAATTAAAATTGTTTTTAAGTTTATGCTTGAGTTATGAGGAAGAATGGTTGAATGAATAAACAAATTGCGCATATTTCTCTACTATATAACTGTTATATTTCTAGACAACTTACTTCTCTACTATAACTGTTCTATTTCTAAACAGATTACTTCTCTACTATAACTGTTATATTTCTAGTCAAATTACTTCTCTACTATATGACTGTTCTATTTCTAGTCAAAATACTTCTCTACTATATAACTGTTCGATATTTCTAGACAGATTACTTCTCTACTATATAACTGTTATATTGCTTGACAATTACTTCTCTATTATATAACTGTTATATTTTTAGACATATTACTTCTCTACTATATAACTGTTTTATTTATAGTCAAATTACTTCTCTACTATATAACTGTTCTATTTCTAGGTGGAGTGCTGACTAGCTGTAGAGGTCCTTAGAGACAGTCAACAGGCTAATCGTCGACAATATACCCGTCGACAATATTTTACTCAACACATCCAATTCGACACTATTCAAACCAAAACATATATTCGGCATTATAAACCTTGTCGTTAGTTATTAAGTAAAAAATTCGATTATCTGATAAATAGCATCACAGAGTACAGTACTACAGACTATACCCGGAGAATTAAACCTGAACCTGCCCTGGGAGAATGAACAAGAATTAAAGTAGAAACCAACTTGAACTCTCCAAGATGCGGTTTTTAGAAAAAATTAGTCATTTTATAATCGGTGGACTGGAGGATATCTTTTACAGGTAATCTTAATTTTCAATTATGAAAATTAATTAATAGAATTCATTCCAATAAAGATGTTTTTATTTTTAATTCAGAAAACTATTTTTAGAGAAAAATTCAATATTGAACAATTATAAATTTAAATTTTTTTATTTAACAAAACTATTTCTTGAAAAAAAATCAAAACTAAACCTCCGAAAATGGAATTAAGAATTATTAAAGTACTCGTTCATTGCGTTGCCTCTCAATTCATCCAGGGGGGTGGAGTGGCCACCTAGAATTTTTAAATGTATGGTAATCAGGGAGAAAACTCAAATTTGTTCAGATGTGGTTTTCAAATTTTGGGACACCTTGTAAATGCAATTTAAAGGCTGAAAATTGTCATGATTTATATTTTTGTGGTTTACAAGTTTAACAAAGCGTTATATAATACATTTCCCGTCATCCTCACCAGAATTTGCATTCAATTTATTAATTGAGATTTTTTGAGGGAACTCGTGGCTACCCGGGGGTTATATAAGCGAAACAAAAATAATTTTTTTTTAACTTCTTGGATAACGCCGGGCACTGAAATCATGATTAAATACAAAGCGCGGGTAAACTGTGGGAATAAATATGACTTATGAATTCCTGGGCAACACTGGGCACTTCAGCTGGTACTATATAAATGTATTATATATGTTTGCACTATCTCATGTAAAATATGTCTAATTAGGGCCATTAAACACAATACTTATGTCACCATGTCTACCCCGTGGGAGTGTTTAAACTTGTTCCTGTGGATTTCCTGGAAGTTATTTATGTTAACAGCTAATTCTTGTATAAACATGGAAATTGTATATTTTAAAGTTTATGCGAATTCTTTTTGTTGTGTTTAGCCTATTCCCTCTTGTTTATCTTGCTAACAACCACCTTCATCAAGTCTACCCTCCCACTCATCCCCTTCCTTCTTTTATTCATCACACCCCCCCCATCCCCTTCCTTCTTATATTCATCACAATCCCCCCCATCCCCTTCCTTCTTTTATTCATCACAATCCCCCCATCCCCTTCCTTCTTTTATTCATCACAATCCCCCCCATCCCCTTCCTTCTTTTATTCATCCCCCCTCATCCCCAGCCACAACCAAGTTTATTTTTTCTATTTCCAGATGGGGAAAATTTCTTGCTCTCCATCCATATCCCATTGTACTGGTGTCTCTAGCCCTCACTGCTCTTTCTGGTATTGGGTTTATCAGATTCAGGTAACTATTTACAGATACAGCTGTTAGAATAGCGTGGTGTTATGGATCTGTTACAATAGCTACACGTCTACGTGGAAATAGTTACACACCCAGATACAGCTGTTACAATTCTCCTTTATACTGTCTTCAATAGATACACAACACGCCTAAATGTAGTTGTTTTAATAGTTACAGGACTGATGGATTTTTTTCTCGATAATTACACTTCAAACAAAGCTTTCAGAAGAGCTAAGCTTCTCAAAGCAGGTGTTAGAATAGCTGCACGTCCAGATGTATCTGTTACAATAGCTACTTGTTAAAGAAACTATTATAATTATTAACACGGATACATGCTACATGCTACAATAGCTAATGTCTTACAGAAACTCTTCGCATTATCTACACGTTTAGAAATATGTAAAAACTTGATAATCAAGATAATATTTTATATCTATTATCCATTGTTTTGTACGATCTATCCAAAATTATATTCAAAATCATTAGAAAATATGTTTAGACAAGAGCATCAAGCAAATTTACTTTGGATACCTGCCGAGTCACCTTATAATTTAAACCAGGTACATTTTTCTTACTTACTGCGTTAATTAGGATTAATTTCATTTTAATCATAATCATATTAAAGGGCCTGGCGGCACAAGAACTATAGATAAGTGTCCAAATAAAACACGTTTTAAACTTGAAAAAAAAAAACATTTTTGTTCAGAGGTTTGATAAGTAGCGGTGAGAATAAGGCTTGTCCCTCTTTAAATGAAATTAATTTTAACTCATTAAATCAATAAATAATTTAGTTTTTAAGAAAACAAGGGATTGACAATATGGAACTAAACATGGTTGAATGAATACATTTCTGTATGGTTTAGACATTTTAAGCGTTTGAGAAGTTTAATCTTGAATCTTGGTCTGATTTTGAAGCTTTATAGAATACTAAAGCTGTATTTAAACTTGAAATAAACTAAGAATATACATTGCAAAATGCAAAGCTTGCATATGATACACTGCAAGCTTGCATTGAGTTAGGTTCGCTAACAATTGAAAATGTTAATCTGGTAACACTTGAACTGCACAGAATTTATACACTGTACAATACTCAACTCTACACTGTACGCTACAAATTCTACACAACTCTACACTGTTCACTCCGTACGCTACAAACTCTACACAACTCTACACTGTACACTCCGTACGCTACAAACTCTACACAACTCTACACTGTTCACTCCGTACGCTACAAACTCTACACAACTCTAAACTGTACACTCCATAATTAACACAAATTTTACTCTGTACACTCCAAACTTTACACAAACTCTACACTGTACACAAAACTTTACACAAACTCTACACTGTACACTCCATAACTAACACAAACTTTACTTTGTACACTCCAAACTTTACACAAACTCTACACTCCATACTTAACACAAACTTTGATCTGTACACTCAAAACTTTACACAAACTCTACACTGTAAACCAAAAATAATTAAATTTTTCTCGTTGTATAACATTTTTTAACATTTTTTTCTAACTAAAACAATGCTCACACTCTAAATCTTAAAGAATGACACTTTTATGATGACCTCTACATACAACACTTTGAATTTGAAGATATAATTGGATTTTTACTTTTGTACTTGTTAAATGTACAATAAATGATCAAGCAAAGATTCAGTGTGAAGATTCAGAGTTCCAGAAATTTAAGAAATTCGATTCAGAAGTCTAATTTTTTGTGGGTTACCCTGTAATAAAAAGCGATATTTAATTAAATCTATATTTGTAGGATTGGTTAGATGTACACTACAAGAAGAACAGAAGAGACCAGCTTATAATATTCTCCGCTGAAAACGTTTTAACTCCAGAATCTTTAATTCAGGTTTATTTTTTACAACTTTTTTACACTTTTTAGGTCTGTATATCCATATCAAAAGTTTTTTCAAAATTCAAGAGTAGTCAATTTTTATTCAAGCAAACATCCGGGTGTAATAATGGTATTGAAGACAAAATTAAACAATTGAAACTTAAAAAAAAAAAAAAACAGTTTTCTTTGCATTTAAAAAAAACTAATTTAAATCTAAAGATATTTTTTCAGATGTATGAACTTCAGAAAGCTATAAACCAAATAGAAGTAAACGGGAAAACCTTTAAGGATATCTGTACCAGAGTCCCGATTGCAAACCTCTTCCACACCGACGATAAACGTAGGAGGAGAAGAGAAACCCTAGTCACTGAACCTATCTTTGATCCTACCCTGAGCTCCGACCCTATTCTAGATCCTACCCTGAGCATTGAATCTGCTCTGGAGGATCTAGAGGAAACTGCTGTAAAGAATGAAACTAATTATGCTGAGATCTGGCCGGACTACTATAACAGTGAGGAGGAGGAGGTGGAAGAAGCTAACTTCTGGCCGGATTACGACGCAGATTACTCCAACGAAAGAGAAGACGTTGAACTAGTCCAGGTTATCAAACCAAAGGTCCGAATCAATTACGAGCTCTACGGAAAGAAGAATAATACAGGTCCTAAGAAATCTATTAAACAACTTCCACGTGATATCAAGTGTGGAATAGTAACCAGACTACCGGAGAAATGTCTTCAGTCCAGTCTGCTAGAGATATGGAGATATAAAGAAGATCTCATCTACTCCGCAACACAGCAGGAGATAATTGATGCTGTAAACCTGCTTGAGACTAGTCCTTGGTTCTCCTTTAGGATGAACTATACCAGTCAGCTAGGAGGGATAGTAAGGAACAGTACAGGGCACATTATTGCTGCTAAAGGTGCACAGATGTACTGGAATATAGCTGTACCTGATGATGTAGAGCTAGTGCACAGTCAGGGTAGTGGAGTTGAGCTTGAACTAGCGGATGCAACTACACTAGCCTGGGAAGAACAAATGATTCAGATTACACTCAACATTTCTCATCCCGGAGTTAAAGTGTTTCCGAACGCGGCAAAGAGTTTTGCTGATGTCAGCGCCGACGCCATTTTCTTCGATGCTATCAAGATGGCGATTGGTTACCTGCTCATGTTCACCTATACAGTGCTCATCTTGGGAAAACTTAACACGTTGGAGCTCAAATTTTATCTTGCAATTACTGGTATAGTCAGTGTTGGAATGGGTTTAATTATCGCAGTCGGTCTTTCATCAGCCATGGGTTATCCTTATACACCAATGCACTCGGCTTTACCCTTCCTTTGCTTAGGTAAAATCAATTTATTTTTAAAATCTGATGAATTTTTAAAAATATTTGTGTCCAGGTATTGGTATAGACGACATGTTCGTGATCGTGCAGTGTTGGTTCAACATGAAGAAGGAGGAGTCCGACACGTTGCCATTGCACGAGCAGATCGGGTTGACTCTGAGGCATGCTGGGGTAGCTGTCACAATTACAACACTCACAGATGTATTCGCCTTCGGGGTCGGGGCTGTTACGGTATTATTATCATTATTATTATTGTTTTTATTGTTACTATTACTGTCGTTAATATCTGAGAATGTAAAACCTAGGAGGTTTAAGGTTTGATGAGTAAAAAGTAGTGAGAGTAAATATTTACTTTATGATACAATGCAATGTGAGGTCTTTGTGTGCTACACACTTTCATCCACAAGGATCTATCTATACACTTTTAAATATTCATTTAACAATCAAATTTTAACTTGTTAAAGGTTTGGGACAAATTTTTTTTATTCCCTGAAAGAAGAAAATGTGTATTATTTCCTTAGCATTTTCAGATAATTAGTTTCCTTTTCTCATCTTTTTCAACATCAAACCGTCAAAAAATATTAGCTCTTTAACTTTACGTACCCCCCCCCCCTGACTCCCCCCATAAATTTTAAAAGAAGGGGATCATTCATGTGGCGTACCGTCCCGTGTTGTCTCATATAGTCTGTATTTGCACTGTACTGCTTGCCCTGGTTAGTTAAAATCCGGTCCGGTACATGAAATGAACTGGAATGTACCGTGCCCCCCCCCTGATTCCTAGCATATATATTGATCTGAACACAAAGACACAATATTTGTATTATTCTATTAATTTACTTAAATAAGGGTTTAACACGCTTGATTAACTCTATCAGATTAATTGTAACAGATTAATAAAAACAAACAAAAAACAGAAAATGTATTTAAAATATAAATTAAAAAAATAGAAAATTTACTTTAAAATATTAGATAGAAAAGAAACGAAAAAAAATGATCATCAAATCATTAATTGTCGCAGTAGAATTGCGGTTGAAATTATAATCAAAATATTTTTAAAGAATATTTGTTATATAATCATGCAACCATTTTCCTCCTTTGTTAGTATTAATTGTTCAAATCAAACATCTTAAATAATAAACTTCTAAATAAATTATTATTATAGAGAATGCCTGGACTAGAATCTTTTTGTGTGTGTACAGCCATTGGTTTAGCTTCAATCTACATTCTTCAGGTCAGTAGAAAATTCTTATTTTGAAAAAGTATAAAATTTCTCTCAAAGTCCTTTTAAAGATTAAAAAGGGATCCTTTTTCTGCTAAGATTAGTACATTATTTTTTTAGATTTTTCTATTTATGGATCGAGCAAAAAAGTTAAAACTTTTGCTTTTATCAAATGGCGCTTATCTACAAGCTTGATATCGATATTTACGATGATATCTTTAGATTTGAGATATAAGCGATTCGTACAAGATGGAGATAATTGCTTAATCTCAAGATTAAGAACACATAAGTTCTCACCTCTCTTTAAAATCTTGGGAGAAGATTTTTGGCTGTATTTTTTCACATTTTAAACATTCCAAAGGAATTGTCTAATCTTTACAACCTGTGTCCGAATTTAATGAATTTAAGCCGCGTCTCAAATCCCCCAAAAACCAATTTTAATTGAGCGCCGGCTTAAATCTTAAAAAATATAATACAATTTTTAGTGGAAACTTCCATATTTGAGCCGCAGCTTAAAGGAGTTGATTCTTTGCCACAAACTCTGATTTTCTAATCCCTATATCTTTGAAACCCAATGTCGTAAACCTTTGATATTTCAAACTTATATTATTTGATCTAACAGAACTCATAGTCTGAAATATCAAAGGTCTACGACATTGGAATCTAAAGATATAGGGATTAGAAAATCAGAGTTTGTTGCAAAAACTCAATTCCTTTAATTAATTTAACCAAATTCTTTAAACCTTTGATATTTCAAACTTAGTTCATTTGATATATAACCTGATTTATAGTTTAAACTATCTAAGTATATGAATTTGGGTTGTAAAAATAAAATGTTTAAAAAATCAGAGTTTGTGGCAAAAACTCAATTTCCTTTTAAACAAAAATAAACAAATTTATTCTTAGATCAGTTTCTTTACTGCATTTCTATCCCTGGATGAGAAACGGATAAAGTCTGGACGGGACGGACTCATCCCGTGTTTTGTTCACAAGAACTACACTGCTCCAGCCTGGACCAACTTTGACCTGAGCGAATATATTGTATCTAAGTACGAATGGCTCCTGAACTCCTGGATCTACAAGATTTGTATAATTCTGACGAGTTTATCCCTGCTCGGGTTCGGGATCTGGGGCTGTGTCTGTATCAGACAAAAGTTTGATCCTATCCTTCTTCTACCAGCGGACTCATATCTTAGGTTAGTTTTTTTATTTCTGCTTATTGTCTTTTTTAAAGTCAATCAGTGAATTTGAAAAATGTGCTTTTAAGTTAACTGTTTACTCTTTCATTAATTCCTTTATTTTGTAAATCATTAACATTAAAAAACATTTGTTTTAAAAAAATCCTAAATTTTTTTATCCGATTGATTATTGCATGGACTAGACACTTGTCACAATTCTAATGTTTCAATCCCTGTTTCTTTACAACCTGGTGATGTAAACATCTTATATTTCATTTCAGGATTATTTGATCATTATTTGAAATATCAAATGTATACGACATCAGATTACAAAGATATTGGAATTAGACAATTATAATTTTATGGCAAGTGTTCAATTCCGGAAGAAAACAATATACAGAAAAAGATATTAAAAATTTAACCTTGTTTTTTGTTTTGTTTAGAAGCTGGGTTTCAATGCATGATGATCTGTATCCTAACAATGGTTGGGAGGCAGAGATGTATACAGGACGGTTAAATCACACAAACATGGAAAAAATGGAGGCGATGACCAACAAGTTTCAAGATCTTGTTGATAACAAGATGTACATCACTGGAACCAACTCCTGGTGGAGAGATCTGAAAACCTATGCTCGGGAGCAGAAGAATTACTCATCCTGGCAGAGTTTTGCCAACCCAGAAGAGTTTCCGATGATCCTCAGTGACTTCCTCTTTTCCGAATCCGGAACAACCTACAAAGGAAACTTTCGTTGGGACGGAACCCTGGAATGCGGAAAACCTGCTCCGCCAATAATTGCTTCAAGATTTAGTTTTTCATTTTATATTTTTGACGGTCCTGAGGAGCATATACCAGCTAAGAGGATGGTGGACTCCATCGTTGCCGAGGCCGGGGTCTCCGAGACCGCGTTCACCCACGTCAAGATCTACGCAGCCTGGGAGACGGATGAAATTATCGGATACGAGCTGTGGAGAAATATCGGGCTCGCCATGATGTGTGTTGCTCTAGTTACACTGGTTCTAATTGCAAACATTCAGATCTGTTTGTTTGTTGTGACAAGCGTGGCTCTCACTCTTGCAGATATTGTTGGCTTTTTACATTTCTGGGGGCTCACAATTGATATTATTTCATGCATTACAATTGTACTGGCTGTTGGACTTTGTGTGGACTATTCAGTGCATATAGGACATGCTTATCTAGTCGCTAAAGGTAGGGGGATATTTTTTATTCTTGTCTTGTTTACCTATTACCATAGAGAATAGAATATATATAAAGAGAGGAATTTACTAGAAAAAAGTGTAAAACGGCCATTTTGTTGTACTGTTTCCATACTGCAGGTGTACTTCACATATTTTTTGTTTACACAATTCTTGACACTACAATATCTCATTGTTGAAAAATATTAAAATTAACTGTCCACACAATACCGTACAAATAGATGTACTTAGGATTAAACCCACTGTACTCTATGATACCAACTCAGTCATAAGGAAACATTTTTCGACAAAATTCACTGTACAGTATAAACCTAGCCAGGCAAAATTAGGAGAGTTATGCCCGCCCCCTGACTCTACTGCATATAATTTGTGAACATTTACATGATTTTTACACTTTGAACTCCCTTTCAGGCTGAAAGGGACTGAAAAAATTCATACCGAGAGATTCTTTTAATTCCTCTCTATATATTCTATTCTCTATGCCTATTACAGATTAAATTTATTAAGAACTGATTCTTTTGAAAGATCGTGGTTTAACATTTTGTTGCCATTTCAACAGAGTAAATTGTTCCAAGAAAACTTGTTGAAAAGAAAAGAAAAGTTTAAATGCTGACAAACAAATATGCATCTTGTCACTGACAGTTAAGGTGCTACAACCTCGTAAGACTATTTTTTAATTACAACTTTGACAGATCCTACAACTTTAAGGACTAAGTGATCTACTCAAAATCAAATTCTAATCTTTGAAACCAAATTCCGTGGACTGAAACCTGATATCGTAGATCTATGTTATGTTAAACAGTCAAAGTTTAAAATTTCAAATTTTTTCCCCGTAAGGTTGCAAAGATATATGAACTAGAAAAAATAAGTATGTAGCGAGTGGTTAGTTGCATATCAACTATTTTTACACCTATTTGAAAATATCTAAACCTGATGTTGCACAGTAAGGGAATGATTTTTATTTTCGTATTTTTACAAAATTGAATCCTTTGGTTTATTGCTTTCAATAAAAATTCGATGAAATGAAAAAGTTTACGAAATTCGTTTGTTTTTCGATGATATAATTATCCTGAGGCACTGTTAAATTAGTTGAATTCAATAGATCATGATTTGAGGGCCCCACCTAGAATTTTCATAAATGAATCTGCAATATGTTGCCTCTAATGCAATATGTTGCAAGATCAAGATGAAGAACTTTTCTCTCTTTACGCGGTTTTATTGCAATTCTCTTATTATTTAAAAGGAGTGTTCCCAAACATTCAATACTCACATTTCAATATTTCAATTCTTTGTATGTTTAAAAGAGATATTAAAAAAGTATACTTTCGTCTTTGCTTTTCTAGAAACATTATTTATAGATATGATACAAATATTTACTTGCCTCAAACGCTAATTTTCTGATCCATATAACTTCGCAACCTTAAATTAAATGTAAACCTTTAATATTTCAAACTTTGATCTTGAAGAATTAATAGTTTGAAATAAGATCTACACGTGCGCCGTAAAGTTTCAAAGTTTTTACGTTAATTGAAATAAAAAAGTTTGAGAGATTGTAATCAGATTCTTTCAAAGGCCTTCTCGATCAAAAAAGCAAGGTTGATTTAACTCTCTGTTCAGGAACAAGAGTTGAGAAATCAATGGCATCCCTCCGAACCATCGGTTCAGCGGTGTTCAACGGTGGATTCACAACGTTCTTGGCTCTTGTTCTTCTTGGCTTCTCAGAGTCTCAGATCTTCCTCACTTTCTTCAAGGTAATTTTATTTTTACAAGTAGTTTAAGGGAGGGAAGAGATTTTATTTATTTTTATGAACTCAACCAAGATTTAGCAAGCTTTTACAATAATGGAGAAAAGAACTTAACATTCAGCTGAATCAAAGGTTTTAAACTGCTTTTGCTTTGAAAGGGTCAGCAGTTACAAAAAGGATGAGACTTCAAGACGAATGTGTACTTTCTTTTTAGAATTTATTGTTCGTCAACAATTGACTAACAAAATGTCGTCTTTATTTGTTCATCAGTTGTGGGTAATCCTCAATGCCGTCTTTATTTGTTCATAACTTGTGGGTAATCCTCAATGTCGTCTTTATTTGTTCATCAGTTGTGGGTAATCCTCAATGTCCGGGAAAACTCTGTTGAGATTTTCCGTAAAAGTTCTTAAAAATTCGAAACTCTTCTCCAAATCCTTAATCATCCAACTAATGATAAAATTAAATTAAACTGACATTAGTCATTGTAAAGGCTTGCTGTCATTGTAAAGGCTTGCTGTTATTGTTAAGGCTTGCTGTCATTGTCGAGGCTTGCTGTCATTGTAAAGGCTTGCTGTCATTGTAAAGGCTTGGTTTATATATGGGTTATTTAATCTGTTAATGCAAATTACATTGTAAAAGTTAGATTCTTTTTATAGTGAGTAATTTTATTGGCCATTTTGAACTTTTACAGGTTTGCTTCGATTCTGTAATTCACAAAAGTTTTAATTGTACCAGTTCCTACCATTTCATTTATCTCTTCAGAGATCATAAATTGTTGTTTTAAAAATTGAAGTTTTTGTGTGCAAATTTAAAACTGGTTCTTACACCATAAGACAAAAAATACCCAATGTTTGCATAGGCTGACAAGACCATGAATATTGGATCTTGTATTTTTTTGTAAAACGTCATCCAAAGAAAAGCCAAAGAATTCACTGTCATTTAAAAGTACGATTAAAAAACTTACTGGTAAAAGTTATGCTGTCAATGTTGAAGAATAGTTTTAATAATTTTTTAAATATTATATCATTCACAGTAAAAAACATCAAAAATTATACAGGGTGAGTCAAAAAAAAAGTGTGATTTGCGGCGCCTGGTGCAAAATTGTACCTTTTTCTTTGCAACTCTCCTGTATGGTGTTTTTTCAATATTTTTTGAAAATTTGTATTTTTTTTTGGTACTCCAATGGCCCCCCAAAAAATCCGCGAATCTTTTTTTCTCTCAAAATCAAAAGTTAGAAAAGGAAAAATGTGCATTCATATTATTTCTTTCTAAATCTAAAATTTTATTAAAATTGAATCACAGAATCACAGAAAATTGGCAAAGTTGTAATTAGAAAATTCGCAATTTTCAGTTCTGGTCTAATTTTTAAGGAAAAGTGAATTAAGTTCTCTAGTTCCTTTCTTCTTAGTATATTCTAAAGTATTAAATATACGCTGTTCAGTTGAAACCTTAAGAATCATTGAAAACAATTTTTCCGTAAAAGTAATTCCAGAACTGAAAATTGTGAATTTTCTAATTACAATTTTGCAAATTTTCAGAGATTCTGCGATTCAATCTTTTAAAATTTTAGATTTCGATAGAAACCATTTATTTACACATTTTTGTTTTTCTGAACTTCTGATTTTGAAAGAAAAAAAGGTTCGCGGATTAATGTACCAAAAAAACACAAATTTTTTAAAAATATTAAAAAAACACCATACAAAAAAGTTACACTTTTGCACCAGGCGCCGCAAATCACACTTTTTTTTGACTCACCCTGTATAATAATTCATTGTCATACAGTGATAGCCAGAAAACTCTGGAATAGTAGGACAACTTTGAATATCGAGTTATAACTTTAAAAGCACAACAATTGTGCAGTGTAAACAGACCCATTTCACAAAAAGTAAATAAGTGTTTAGTAAGAGCTTTGTAACACCATCAAAAACACTTGAATATTGATATAATGTCGTCTTCCTATTCTATTGTTTTCTTGTTATCACTGTACTTGATTCGTTGCTAATCATTGCCGACATTTTTATATACACAATGCAATGATCTATAGCGTTGTAATTTTTAAATATTTATTTTTCGTTTTTCCTAAATTTATTTTTTTGTCAATTGCCGAACAATTTGTCAATTCTTTTATTGTTTAGGTTTTTGTTCTGACAGTCGTGTTCGGTTTGTTTCATGGTTTAATACTTCTACCAGTTGTTCTCTCCATTGTAGGTAAGCATATTAAAATTCTAGGTCTTCATATTCTTATTGGATTAATATGCGATTAAGTAATTCTGATATAGCTCTATTTATTTCCCGGGCTCACTCTGGACCAACCATGGTTAAATGTGTTCCATATAGCTTTGCAATCTGATAGTGTAAACCTTTGATATTTCAAACTTAGATTGAGTTGACCTAACTGTTCAAAATGTGATCGAATACCACAGCTGGGTTTATGACTGTCCTTTAAAATCCTGATTTAAAGGATCTCAGCGGGTTGTTTCTGTGATTAATCTTTCTATAAAATGTTTTTTCCCAGGTCCGGTTTCGAAAGAAGATTTAATGAGCGGAGCTTCCTCTGTGATTGGATCATCATCAGAGTCCCATCTCTCTTCACCTACATCATCTGGTCCTGGTTCTCCAGCTAGACCTGGATACGCAAACAAGGGGTTCATGGCAGGTACAAATAATGCTCAGGGTAGTCTAAAAGAGAACAGGATAGCTACAGATACAGCTCATGGTAGTCTAAAGAGTATAGGATAGGTACAGATACAGCTCATGGTAGTCTAAAAAGTACAGGATAGGTACAGATACAGCTCCAAATAGTCTAGAGAGTACTTGATGGGTCCAGATACTGCTGAGAGTAGTCTAGAAATTACAAGATAGGGGCAGATACCTGCTCTAGGTAGTCTAGCGAGTACAATTAAATACAAACACTGCATATGGTAGACTAGGTACAGTTTAAGGACAAATACTGCTCAGGGTACAGATACTACTTATTGTAGGGTGAGTTAAAATTTTCAGTGTTTTGACTCATTGTTTTTTTTAGAGAACGGGATCTCAGTTATCTCCGACAGTATTGATAACCCAGAGAAAAAAAGAGGATTCGGTAAGAAAGCATCCTGGGATGTTGAATCTAAGTACTAAACCTAGCACCTAGAGATAAATGAACCTATTGTATTATCCTAGAACCTAGATTTATGCCATGATTTACCAACCTAGTATTATTACGATAAGATTGCCCCTTTCTATTTATAAAATCACTGGGGACCATTTTCGTTATTGCTTTCTTATTAATCTGTTTAATTTAACATTGTTATCATCTGTCCCGTAATATGTAGAGGATTGCACAGTGTACAGTGTACATGAGTTACATGTACACAGTTAGTACGCTGAGCAGTATGTTATTTTGTGATGTTATTTATTGTACCTGAACAAATACATGTGATATAAATATTCTTTTATTTATTCAAAGAAGAGAAAATTTGCAAATGCAAAGATAGAGCAAACTACCTTGAACTAAAAGAACTACAAGAAATATTTCACACATAGTTTAACGTTAGGGAATTTTTTTGTGATTTTAGTGCAAATACGAAGATTTTAAAAGATGAGAGGTTTACAGTGGTTGGCGTATACAATGCTGGCGGCATTGTGTTGCAACTTTGCTATCTAACTCACTGAAATCTATAGGTTGCAACCTCGTACGCAAAAATCGATGCGATTTTGCCAATTAATAAAGGTACTAAAAATAACTGAAGTGTAAATGTCTAGGGCTATTAAAAGGAGAAGTTAGTTAGTCAAGAAAAGTATTGTTTATGTCCAATTCTTTAAATGGTTTAAATCTCCACCACTTTATACACATACAACTAAACAGTTTGTTTTTAATCTTCCTCACAGAAACAATCTCAAGGAATAATAATTGTCTTAAAACATTTTTTTAAAAGTAAATATTTGCAAAATATCTTTTTTCAATCCCATAATCTGAGTTCGTTTCCCTTATGTCTATTTGACAGCCCAAATGTTTACTTTGAATAATCTTTTTTGTTTGTTTATTTTCTTGTGGTTTTTAATAATTTTTTTTATCGATTTTGATGGTTATTGTATCCTTAGAACTGACAAGGGTCAACCTAGACCGAAATATATTTTCAATTAAGTTGGAACTAACATCTACTTTTTTTTACTCTACAGAGAGGTTTGGTCCATCACCTTCACCGAATTTTAAAAGTCGACCAAATCTTGAAAAATGGATGCAACGTTTCATAGCACTATGGGAACTAGTTTACACCTAGTGCATTGACACACAAAACAAAGGGAAGCTGTGAATTAGAAGGAAAAACAAAACAAAGGGAGCCGTGAATTAGAAGGAAAAACAAAACAAAGGAAAGCTGTGAATTAGAAGGAAAAACAAAACAAAGGAAAGCTGTGAATTAGAAGGAAAAACATAACAAAGGAAAGCTGTGAATTAGAAGGAAAAACAAAACAAAGGAAAGCTGTGAATTAGAAGGAAAATGTTTTAAAATTTTATTGATTTTTTACCTAAAAATTCAATCACTTAAAAAAATTTGAGTCTTTGCCACAAACTTAAATTTTATTATCGGTATATATCTATCATTGAAACCTAATGTTGTAAAACTTAGATATTTAAAACTATGAATACTGTTTGATAAATAATCTAAGTTAGAAATATCGAAGATATACTCCATTAGGTAGCAAAGATCAAAGTGATTAAATACTAAAGTGGAACAGACTAAGGCAACGACGACAGGTTGGGCCATAGGGTTTTATTTGGTTTGGAAATAATTGCATGAAAAGATTTCTTTTGGAAAGTAAAGACTAGAAAAAATAGACTAATGACTCATCTTCGTCATCAGTTAGAACTTCAAAATTTTCACGATTAAAAATCTAAAATTTTTATATTTTAGTTAGTTAATAGTTTATATGTAAATACTATACAGTCGCTTAATCAATTCATTGATTTTGCCTGGCACTTCTATTTGTATAGAAATTTATCTTTAAAACTGCTAAGTTTTGTTCTTTCAAATCTCACTCCATTCCCAAATATGTTTGTAAATTTCTTAAACACATCTATGTTATTATCCAGAGGCGTATTCAGGGGGGGCTATGGGGGCTCATCTCCCTCCTGGATCAGTGAAATATATGCTCTTTTTTTTTGGGGGGGGGGTTTGGCATCCCCCCCCCCTAAAAAGAAAAAGAAATGTAAGCCCTTCCAGGGAAAAAACCTGAATACGCCTCTCTTAATATCTTTAACATCTCTGTACAGACTGTACATTTATATCTTTCAAGATGAAAAATGTCGTCTTATGCGCAATCTATCTTTATTTATGGAGTTAAATGGAAAAATGTAACAAAGTTTCAAAATGTCGTCATTCATCACACCGTCTAAGGTTTACAACCGTTTACGTATAAATTTATTCGGAAACAACATTTTTTGAGAATTACTAATATCTCAATTTTCTAGTGATCTCATTTTTTTAAAATTCTAATTGAAACTCGATTTCTTACTTTTTCATAATCTTTCATTTCTCTTTACATCTTTAAATACTCATGAAATAATCCTTGGAGACTTCTTTTAAGACAGATGAGCAAACTTTGTTCTTCAAACATTTAAATTCTAAGTGTATATGATCGTCTTTAAAATTTCATCTTTTGTGGTGAACCCTGTATCATTTTCCAATCCGAATTTTCTTTCTTTATTTTTCAAAAATTACTCTTCCGCATTGATGGTAGATATGATTAAACTCCCGCAGCCCCCTGCCCACCCCCCCCCCCCCGCCGTAAAAGAGCAAAGTATCTTTCCCTTTAGTCTCTATATTCTCTACCTTCCTTTACACTTTTATGTTTGGTATAAAATCTATGAAACATGGTGAAGATATTTTACAGATTTTATGAGGGGAGAGAGAAATTCTTTTAGGCGAACTTTTTATCATTTTCCTCTGCTCTATACACTATAACACTATACACATAATATACAGAATTCTCAATTATTTTAGAAATCTTAAATATCAAGATCCGTCGTAAACATTTCAGAAAAAAATAAGAAAGAAAACTTCTTACAACGCGCGGTGAATGGAAAAATCAACCCAATCCCGTGGTCACCAGAATATAGCGGAATTATTGTCGTCTTTAATCGGTCTTTTAATTATTTAAAGTCGCGCATGATTTCACTATTTACAAATCACAAAATCCTTGACGAAATTTCAAAATTAAATGAAAGAACGAAGAGACGACTTATTTCCTTGTGTTCTAGTTTTCGCAGCATATTTAGGTATGTACTATGTATATGCAAATTCAACTGAGCGACCTTTATTTTAGTCTGTACGAAGCTTACTTTCATTATTTTATCTTTAGTAATTTTTTCTTTGCAAATAAATTATTTTTGTCTAGAACACTACGAATTTTATTATGTAGATGTTATTACTTGGAATGTGCAGAAATTGTGTTATTATCAGGTTTTATATCTTTTTACCCTTTGGGAAATTGTCTAGATAATTGTATCTATATAAGTTTCGTACAGCACATGTAAACTTCATACCCGGCCATCTTGTTAAAAACTCAGGGTTAGATCCCCATAAAATTTATACAAAATAAGCTGGTTTCCTAACGTTTGAAAAAGAAATGTAGTCTTTGATTTTATAATCCCTATAACTTTGCAACACTAAGACGCAGACCTTAGATATTTCAAGCTATGAATTTTATTAGATCTAATATTTTAAGTTGAAATTTGAATCTTTGTTTAAAACTCCTATTTTCTAATGCTCAAAGTGATTAAATACTAAAGTGGGCCAAACTCATAGTTGGATGACGACATTTTATGTCCCAAGTATTTGAAAATAATATATATATAAAAATATATAAATTGGTCTGTACGGAGTACACAGTACAACAGAAACTGGACTCCCTTTGTTTACAAACACAGGGTTAGAATTTGTTTTTAACTTAAATATAGATTAACGTAAATTACTATTTCAGAAGTGAATTTTAGCCATTTTTCTGAACAATAAATAATTTCAGACAGCACAATAATGCCTGCATGCAAATCTGTAAAACAAGGAATGAACAATTTGTGACACCGAAAAATGAAGATCTTCGAAATATATCTCTTGATCTTTACTTTTGTATTTTGACCATAGAGAATAGAATATATAGAGAGGAATTTACTGGAAAAAAGTGTAAAACGGCCATTTTGTTGTACTGTTTCCATACTGCAGGTGTACTTCACATATTTATGCTATATAACCTGTTGGGCCCTGGAATATCATTGTATAGAAAATCTAAAATTATTGTTAAAAGTAAACCAAATTATGAAATAGGCTGGTTTCATAATTGACCAATGATCATTTAACATAGCCTCTATGCCTTCCACTTTACAAACGATGATTTTCCTTTATTACTATAAATCAAATGATGTTTTTATTCACCTAATTCATTATAAAGTTTATTTAACAGTTTAAAAAATTCGAAATTGAAATGGATAGTCTAGGGAACATATTGTATTAATGTACTCTACTGCATATAATTTGTGAACATTTACATTTGAACTCCCTTTCAGGCTGAAAGGGACTGAAAAAATTAATACCGAGAGATTCTTTTAATTCCTCTCTATATATTATATTCTCTATGATTTTGACAGATTTAAGAGTGGTTATTTCTGGGTAAACGTTAAAGGGACCGTTCACTTATTTGGGTAATTTCAGGGTAAACTAAACAGCCTATTCGCTGTTGATTAGTAATAGTAGTATTAGTAGTAATAGTTTAGAATTCGAGCGCAAAGGGACGGTCCTTTTCTATAGACACTAATTGATGTGTTTTTTTTCAGCATGTTGTGAGTCAAAATAAATTTCGAATATAAAATTAAACTGTAGTATCTAATCGTTAATTGTAAATGTCATTATTTTTAATTTTTTTTTGTTTTTTAACTTTCTATTTCTAAAATAACACTATTTCCCCCCCCCAGCGGGAATAGGGTTAAATTCTGAACGAAAAATCGGGGTTTTCTCCGGCCACAGTTGTCTTTGAAAAGTAAGACTATTACCAATCAAGAGCGAATAGGCTGTTTAGTTTACCCTGAAATTACCCAAATAAGTAAACGGTCCCTTTAAATAATGGTAGTAGATTCTACGCAGCAAATTTTCCGCGGCATCCGCGCATATTTTTGTAGTTTATGGCAATGTGCACAACAGAAATCTGGTATTTTATGATTTTATCTGAAATTTCAAAATTACAAATTATATTTATACACTTAAAATATACACTATATGCTGATATATAATGTGAGTACAGAAGTAATTAACTATACAACTCTCATTAGTTGCAAGTATCAGAATCTTAACAATTAATTTACGTAAACTAAGCTGTAATATCGATCCCTAATGTTAAAACAATTGATTTTTACTGTCTGTCGCTCAGCAAAACTTGATTGATTCTCAAATATGAGAAAGTATGAGAGAAGTATATTCGAATAAGACAACACTGAGAGAAGTATATTCGAATAAGATAACACTGAGAGAAGTATATTCGAATAAGACAACACTGAGAGAAGTATATTCGAATAAGACAACACTGAGAGAAGTATAATCGAATAAGACAACACTGAGAGAAGTATAAGACAAAGGGCAAGACTTCAGTGACGACTGTACAAAATATAAACTGTCTGTTTACATTCATGATGCATGATTCCTCGCAACTTTAAACTTGTTTAGTTCTTTGTCAAATTAATAAATAAGCCATTTAACGTTTATAGAAGACTTAATTAAACCTTGAAGTTGAGTTTCAGGTCGTCTTTACAACCTCATTAATATGTGGGTAACCCTGCATGTATACATTTGTAATGTAGAATTTAAGAGGGTCCATTTTCCACAGGCATGCGTAACTGGAAGTTCGTTTATGGGGGGGGGGGAAGGCAAAGCCCTCTTTCACAGTAAAAAAAAACACTTGTTTTGTCGGAGGAGGGGGTGTGCACAACCCCCCCCCCACTAAATAATTTTTTAAAAATTTGTATCAGGCCAATATGAAATTTAGCCTGCAGAAATCTTTCGGGCATTCTAATCTATAGGTAGGTTGGTGTTAAAACTTGGAGACATCATCCTAACTTGAACAGTCAACGGCTGAAAGATCGAAGTTGACAAACAGTCCACTATTTTTTGGCTACCATTGTACTTTTTGGGTTGACTTTTTGGCGCTTATTGCAATCGAATAAAATTAACTACAGTCTATATTTCAGTCTAAAATAAAACAGAATATAAAAGTTATAACTTAACATAAGAAAAACAACATGAGAAAATAAATAAATAAATAGATATAAAAATTTAAACAGCTGTAATATCCTAGAATTGAAAAAGAGCGTTTTAGATTGATAAGAAGTGTAGAAAATACAGGGTGTCCCACTAAAAATGATAATAAAGATACATCTCATTCTCAAAGGTTTTCTTTGATATCTGATTGTTATATAATAACACAATTTGGATCACAAAAAATCTGTAAATCCTACTTTTGATACACAAGTTGTCCTTATTTTACACTGTATTTCCATGTCCTCCCAAAACTGGAATGTCTCGTAAGAACTCCTGATTTAAAAGAGTCACGGAAGTTCGTAGTAAGATTTTGATTCCACTGGAGACCACCGGAGGGAATTCTTTTTCACTGGAGGGGTTTGAAAAAACGCTTTTTACAATTCAAAACTTTATGCAGGGCGATTTACATTCCACTGGAGGGATTCAGTTATCCTTCCTAGGGGTTTATAATTCCACTGGAGGGATTCAGTTATCCTTCCTTGGGGTTTATAATTCCACTGGAGGGTTTCAGATATCTTTCCAAGGGGTTTATCATTCCACTGGAGGGATTCAGATATCCTTCCTGGGGGTTTATAATTCCACTGGAGGGATTCAGATGTCCTTCCTATGGGGTTATAATTCCACTGGAGGGATTCAGTTATCCTTCCAAGGAGTTTATAATTCCACTGGAGGGATTCAGATATCCTTCCTGTGGAATTATAAACCCCTTGGAAGGATAACTGAATCCCTCCAGTGGAATTACAAACCCCCAGGAAGGATATCTGAATCCCTCCAGTGGAATTATAAACCCCTAGGAAAGATATCTGAATCCCTCCAGTGGAATTATAAACCCATAGGAAAGATATCTGAATCCCTCCAGTGGAATTATAAACCCCTTGGAATGATAACTGAATCCCTCCAGTGGAATTATAAACCCCCAGGAAGGATATCTGATCCCTCTAGTGGAATTATAAACCCCTTGGAAGGATATCTGAATCCCTCCAGTGGAATGTAAATCACCCTGCGTAAAGTTTTAAATTGTAAAAAGCATTTTTTTTAAACCCTCCAGTGAAAATAAAATCCCTCCGGTGGTCTCCAGTAGAATCGAAATCTTACTACGAACTTCTTTGAGTCGATTTAAAAAGGGAGTTTAGCGTGATATCTCCCTCTAATAGGAAGTTGAGCCCAAATCTCCTTTTTATACTTCTCTTATGACGCATTTATTCTGCTTTGAAACATTTATCTTTCCTATATAATGAAGGAAAAGTCTAGTCCTATAAAGACAGCGAGGTCATTTCCATCTAGAGTTCCTTAAAAAGGAAGTTATCGGGAAACGGCCCTGGAACCTTTGGAACGCACGAGGCATTTATTCCAGTTTAGGGAGAATGGAAATACAGTGTATGGAACAAAGACGATATTTTAGTCGACTCTTAACAGTCATGTTTAGTGGGATACCCTGTAGGCCGCATCTATGAAACGCTAAGAAAATTTTTGATAAATTTCAGAATATTCAAACTATCAACGCATGCTACATACACATTATACATATACAAAACTCATCTCTGATAAAGGTCGATAATAATAACATTTAAAAAGAAAAAAATTACATAAGTGTTTAATTTTCAAGCGAAGAAGGTTCTATTGCATGGTCTATGAGCGTAATTTCAAGTGACCCTTCATGCAAAGATAGCAATGCCCGATTTACAACGGTATCCTTGGAACCTTAATCTGGTCAAAAATGTCGAAGATAATGTAGTTTTGTGACTCTAGTAGCGTTTATGTTTAGGAATGTCTCTATTGCTTCATATAAGCAATACATGAGCAAGTTTCTTTTGCAGAGAAATCACAAATGAAAATACACCAGTTAGAGAAACAAAAATCTTGATATCTAATTCATACTTCATTACAGTACCGTACCGTACCGTACCGTACCGTACCGTAACGTTGTAAATCGGGCATTGGCATCCACGCATGAAATTATTTGAAATTACGCTCACAGTCCCTTTAAACATGAAATAGTAAATAATGAATCTGAGAAAACTAGCGCTTAAAAAAAGTTGGGTTTTAAACAAACTTAAACAAATTAAGATTCTACTTTTTTATGGAGGAATTTGTCAATTAAGGAAAAATGTGTTAATTTAGCAGATTTCTTTTGTGTTAGAAGTATTGAACAAAATATAAAATATCAATCTAATCTAAACACTGGAGAAACTTTTAGAGAAATCAAGACTAGAGTTTATATTTAATCCGTCCTTCTCCGTATCCGAGTCTGGGCTTGAACCCTGTTCTCCGGGTGCCCGGGTAGACGGAGGGCTCGTGGTGAACGGAGAAACTGGAACGGTTGGACCTAGAGGTTTTATCACTGCAACTCGAACCTTTTTTGTCTCACAAACTTTACTTGGTTCTCTCTGACAGATCTCCTTCTCTACTTCAATCTCCTTGATACAGTTCTTCTCCTCCTCCTCCTCCTTCCTGCAGTCCTTCTCCACCTCCACTTTTACCTGGCGGCATTCTACTCCTGCTGGTTCACATTTATGGATCGAGGGCAAAGGAACCTTGGAGTAAACAATACATATTATATCAATGTTATCAATGTCTCGTATATTAAAAAGAATCAGGTATTATTGCAAATAAGGAAAGTACCTTAATATCAAACAAATACATAAAACAATATGAATTCAAATTATAAATTCGGCAACAAAAATCCTTTTTTAAAGATTTTCGTTCAGGCCACAAACTCAAATTTTCTAATCTTGTAACCTGATGGTGTAAACCTTTGATATATTTCAAGCTTAAAATATTTAAGAAAACAGAATTCATGGTTTAAAATCTCTAAGGTCTCTAGGAATTAGAAATTCAAATTTTGTGGCAAAGACTCGATCAATCAAGCTTTCATCGGTAGATTCCATGAACGGATTCCTTTTTAAAATTGAAACTTGCATATTAATTAGTAATTACAATTGACAAAATTTAGCAGAGATGCATTTAATTGTCATCTGCAATAGAAGACTATAAAACAAAAATATACCTGTGTACATATTCTCCTAGGTTCTCGTGTACAGGTATGTACAGGACGTTTGACTGGAACTTGTTTACAGTTTGGTCCCACTTCATTACATGTACTGTCCTTACAATCCTAGATAAAGGAATGTACATTAACATGTGTGTCATTTTGTATACATGAGAAGCTTACCGTTTATGGATTCTTTAGAGAAATACAATTGAATAAGCAAAAGATAATGCAAATTTGAATTTTTTTTTAGCCAACGTTACCCCCAGGGCACTCATAGTTTTCCTAAAAAATAGCCAATTTGGTCAAGCCGTTTGACCAGCTTTAGCTAACATATATATATATATATATACATATTATATAGATATACCTATTCATGACTACACTCAGAGATATACCTGCTCATAACTAAACTCAGAGATATACCTGTTCATAACTATATTCAGAGATATACCTGCTCATAACTACACTCAGAGATATACGTGTTCATAACTACACTCAGAGATATACCTGCTCATAACTACACTCAGACATCGACCTGTTCATAACTACACTCAGAGATATACCTGTTCATAACTACACTCAGAGATCGACCTGTTCATAACTACACTCAGAGATATACCTGTTCATAACTACACTCAGAGATAGACCTGTTCATAACTACACTCAGAGATATACCTGTTCATAACTATACTCAGAGATATACCTGTTCATAACTACACTCAGAGATATACCTGTTCATAACTGCACTCAGAGATATTCCTGTTCATAGCTATACTCAGAGATATACCTGTTCATAACTACACTCAGTCTTATATTTGATCTGGAAACCCCGTTCACATTTAGGTTCATAAACATCCTCACACTTCTCTCTGAAACAAAATAAAGGGATTGTTCACATATTTAAATATAAAGATGTTTTACCAATTTTTAAAACTGTTATGTATTGTCTTTAATACAGGTTGGAAAGTAAATTATGTGTCAAAACGTTGGTCATGTCAAATTAAAGATAATCATGACTCCACTTTATCAAGGCATACTGAGATAAACAATAAGTTTTAAAGTTCTAATATCAAACTAAATTTCTCAAACCTTGGCGTAAGAATAAACTAGACTTTAAATAATTTAATATCACAACAATATAAGGCAAACAATGCTATTTTAGACAAAAAAAAAAATACGTTCATGGATCAAAACCGTCTTTTTAAGTAAAGTTTTTTTTCCAGGCTACGTTAGGTTGGGTTAAGATAGATAGAATAATCTCAAAACTCAAGTGTTTATAATTATAAACTTTAGAAATATAAACCCACCAAGAATGACTGAGAGCTGCTGTTCACTGTTTTGTTCATATCTAAACTTTGTTTAACTGCCTTCAATATATCTTAAATGTGAATTTTGAATGCAATTATATGGTTGCCTGAGCCCATAAATTCAACCATATATTCATATTTATACATAAACTTGGAGAAAATTTAAACTTTATTCAAAAATTGTTTCGCATTATTTACTTTTTCACATTTCATTTGTTTGAAGAGGAAAAAGAATTGTTTCCATAGATAGGCGGTAGGTAGGTGGTAGGGTTGGTAATCGTTTTTGAAAACGATCGTTTAACGATCGTTTTTTGCTTCGTTAAACGATCATTTTTAAAAAACGATCGTTTCGTTTTCTCAAAAAAACGATCGTTTTTAAAACAACCCACTCGTTTTGAACTGTTAGAAAACGAAGAACAATCGTTTTTGAAAACGATCATTTGTAGTCGGTAGGTAGGTGGTAGGTAGGTGGTAGGTGGTAACAAGGTAGGTGGTAGGTAGGCGGTAGGTAGGCGGTAGGTAGGTGGTTGGTATGTGGTAGGTAGGTGGTAGGTAGGCGATAGGTAGGCGTATTTCTTATGCTATTGAGACAAAAAAGCTTTATTATGCACTAAAAGTCGTCTTCTATTTGAAAAACTTGATAAAAATGTTAATTGAACTTAACCAGGTGTATTACCTTGTGGGAGATTCGAATACAGGTTTACATTTAGGGAAGTAGGATACATCACATTTCTCCCTGGATTCAAAACTTGAAATTTTACTTTTAAAACTATAGAAAGTTAAACATTTAAAGTTAAAACGTTGAATTATGTTTGATCATAGAAGTCAAAACTTTGGGATTTTTTATCTGTTTATCGCGCTTAGTCGGTCACCGGACACAGTCACTCATTTCTTCACTCATTTCTTAATTTGTTTAGGGTGAAGTTCCCGTAAATCCTTCAAATACTTAAATCCTGCAATTTAAAAGTTTACACCACAAACATCGAGTTTTACAGATGCAAGGCTAATTACAGAAACGAAATCCCAACCCTGAGGTGCATAAGCAAATTTGTATTTTGTACTAATTCAGAACTTTTTGTAAGGTTTATTAAATTCTCTCTTATTTCATGATGTAAACAAAAATTAATATAATAAGTAAATAAATAAACTAAATATAAAAATGCAAAAATATCAACATTTTGAAAGTTTTTGTTTAATTTTTTTCTATATTTGTATCCATCAAGAATTTATCTATATACATGAAGGTTGTATCTGTATCCATAAAAGGTTGTATCTGTCCCCATAACGGTTGAATTTGTATCAATGAAGGGTGTATCGTGTATCAAAAACTATATCAAAGATTGTATCAAGGTAAGTGTTCAAGTTTTCTCCTGTATTCTATTTCTGGTTTACTCTGAGAACAGTTCTGGAGCAACTCAGCTTTAATTTTACAACTGAAATAGATAGATAAATTAATTTAGCGACCAAATAATATTTACCAATGGATCCCTAAAAAAAAAAAACGACTTGTAGTCGTGATAAAATGTTTAACATGCAAAATTTATCATTATCAGGGACTGTAAACGTAGTTTAAAGTAAATCTCCATTCATAGATTCACAACAGTGATCCACATAACAAGGATATAAGAGTTCCTTGCATATTCCTTGCCTTAACAAGGATATAAGGGTTCCCTTGTATATTCCTTGCCTTAACAAGGATATAGGGTTACCTCGTATATTCCTTGTCTTAACAAGGATATAAGGGTTTCCTTTCATATTTCTTGTCTTAACAAGGATATAGGGTTCCCTTGTATATTCCTTGCCTTAACAAGGATATAAGACTTCCCCTGCATATTTCTTGCCTTAACAAGGATATACGGGTTCCTTTGTATATTCCTATAGCCTTAACAAGGATATAAAGGTTTCCTTTCATATTTCTTGCCTTAACAAGGCTATAAGGGTTTCCTTTCATATACCTTGCCTTAACAAGGATATAAGGGTTCTCTTGCATATTTCTTGCCTTAACAAGGACATAAGGGTTTCCTTGCATATCCCTTGCCTTAACAAGGATATAGGGTTCCCTTGTATATTCCTTGCCTTAACAAGGATATAAGGGTTCCCTTGCATAGTCCTTTGCTTAACAAGGGTATAAGGGTTCCCTTGCATATTCCTTGCCTTAATAAGGATATAAGGGTTCCCTTGTATATTCCTTGCCTTAACAAGGATATAAGGGTTTCCTTACCCGTGCCTTAAAAAGGATATAGGGTTCCCTTGTATATTCCTTGACTTACCAAGGATATAAGGGTTCCCTTGTATATTCCTTGCCTGAACAAGGATATACGGGTTCCCTTGCATATTCCTTGCCTTAACAAGAATATAACGATTCCCTTGCATAGTCCTTGCCTTAACAAGGATATAAAGGTTCCCTTGCATATTCCTTGCCTTAACAAGGATATAAGGGTTCCCTTGCATATTCCTTGCCTTAACAAGGATATTAGGGTTCTCTTGCATATTCCTTGCCTTAACAAGGATATTAGGGTTCTCTTGCATATTCCTAGCTTAAGTCTGAATAGCACTGAGTTTGTTTACAATCCTACCAGAAACTGCAGTACATTTTTGTAAACAATGGTATACAAGTTCCTGATATATCTTCCTTGAGTTTCCCAAACTAAAATTTTGAAAATAATTCTTACCTTGGATTAATTTCCTTGACTAGAATTTGTTTACAAACATTGTTATAAACCTGTTTGCAAGTCTCTACATCCTCCTCTTTATATTCTAAAAAAAAAATAAAAAATAAAAAATAAATGATTTCTGGATTTAGGTTTTATTTCATTTCTCTGTGGATTAAAAAGAAAAGCTAAAGGAGTTAAAGTAAGAAAAAAAGATTAAAACTATATTGTCCGGGGATGGGTATATACTACAGTTAAGCCCTAAGTTAGCCATACATCGAAAGAACTTATCAAATGTCGTCTTTACAATTTTTCAATGGGTTTTATATAATTATGATAATCTCAGTATTTGCGAAAATAAATAAAAAGTCATGAATATGCGGGAACAGTTTTAAAGAGCTCCATATTATCATTTTATTTAAAAACTTAATATCAGAATGGGAAGAATACGACATTTGATAAATTCTTTCGATGTATGGCTTATTTAGGGTTTAACTGTACTTGAAATTCGGTGTTGAAGATATTCCAAACCCGGTCCAAAGAGAACAAACCATTTATAAAGAAAAACAGAAAAGTTTTTTGTCAAAAAAGGGAAACGAACTCGGATTATGATATGTAAAAAAGATAATTAGCAAATATTCACTACAATTATTATATTCCTATTTAAGATTTGCTTCTGTCACGAAGATTAAAAAAATTCATGTACACATTTTGGATAGGGTTAACATAAACAAAAACTTTTTATTAATTTTTAGAAAAGTTTGAGCAAATTTTGCTAAAAATATTACATTAATTAGTAATTAAAATGTATTTAAATGTTAATCATTAAAAAACTAGCCTTTGAGAAAATGCACAACTATTGCCATAGTCGGGAGGATTATGCATAAGAATTAATATTCATAACTCAGTGTGAAGATGGGGAAGGTTGGACACACATGGTAAATAATTAATCATGTTCGTTTTAAATGCATACTCCAATATGTCTCTTTAAGTGTATATTTATCCACACACATGTTATCAAACTCTATCCTCTCTACCAAACCCTGTTAGGTCTAAATATGTATTTATCGACACATAAAGCTATCAAACACTATCCTCTCTACCGAACACTGATATGTATAAGTGTGTATCTGTAGTAAATGTCCTACTCTATAACAGTTTCTCTAACACGTATCTATTTAGGTACAACTCAGATTCTCTTGACTATCAATGTCAACACACGGCTACAATCCTGTGAACTATCAACACCACTACCACTGGTTGCGATCTGTGTACGTTTGTAATTATCAATGCCAAACCACTGTACACGATCTCAGCTCCTATGTTTAAATGAGAGTCAGCTATCAATGTCAACAGGGACACAAGCTCTTAATCGATCAATGTCTCAACTAGTACACAATCCACACAGCTTCAATCCCGTGAACTATCATTGCCACTACCACTGGGATCGATCTCTTAAACTATCAATGTCTCAACTAGAACACGATCCTCAACTTGTTTATCAAAACAGGGAACGATTACTCTCTTGCAGTAAACTGTAAGGAGTCTCTATATCAACTTGTATATTTGATGTTTATATATTATAAGTTAAAGTTAATAGATGTACCCAATATTTATTACAAATGGGGGGGGGGGGGGGGTGGTTGAAGAAAAGGGTTAATTTATCGCTTATTTTCAATCATACTGCCTCTTCATTTGTCATCAGTGCTCCCAGTCTCATGACCTCTGCTTCTGGTTTCTTATGGTTCCGAAGCCTGCTGGCCCAGTCCAACGTGATTCCGTTGATGATAGCTTCGATGGTGGGCATTAGACATAATATTAGGATAGCCACAGCACAGGATATCAGAATTGCGAGATACTCTATTGCGAGACTAATCAATATAAACACCTTGACTCCTGAATTCACTTGAGACAAGTCCTAATGGGTTCAGATCGTTAAAAAATTCTGATCCTTTGGTTTGAACATCACTGATCATGTGGTCCAAGTTGAAGACATTTCCCAGCATATTAGATGAGCCGCTAGCACATTCCTCCATGACAGTGAGTTCAGGATTTTCTGGTGGGAGGATTTCATATAGCTTGGAATAGCTATCTGTTCAACTCTCCTAGTAATGGTGACCCAGACATGCTTCGTGGTTTCAACTATTATAAGGAATTGATCTGAGCAAGGAATGATTTCAGGATGAACTGTTGTAACCAGGCTATCATGGTCGGCGTAGCGAATAGATCCACAGATTATAACGGGAGCGGCACAGACGCAAAAGGATATCTCTGCCAATGGAACCTTGGCAGCCACATATGGGTGTCCTTAGATACAGGGACCCGTACATCTCACAAATGGTCCCAGTCTTTACACAATTGCCAATATTTTTATCTCTTTTTACTTCCTGAAACATTTCCTTATTTTGATGAGACATATAACTGAGGGTAGGGATGAGGTCTAGACTTTCTCTGATATCTTCAGATTTCACAGGAGAAAGCTTACATGCTTGGGGTTTGGGGCTGATCATCACACCCTTCAAAGTGGTGGAGTAGATTGTTATGCCCTGGCATATTAGTTTACTGCATTAGTTTGGCAAATTTACTGATTATTTTGTACTTTTTACCACAATATCTCGTATTGGGTCACAGTCCCTTAACAGACATTTCCACCTTGTTTTGATGGCTATTCAGTGCGAATCAAGATCAACGCTTGATCTTGATCTTTTGTTAATCTGCAGAATAATTTAATCTTTATTTGATATCCGCAGCGTTATATTGTACCCTGAAGGAATAATTGAAATGAAGAGATAAAGCATTGATTCTCAAATTAAAAGTGCCAACTGTAGATATCGAGATCAAGCCATCGAGATTATAAGTATCCAACACAATAGTTCCCAGCCAGAGTAAAGATGCAATATTTTCCACTGCAGGTTCTATTGTACAAGTACTGTAAACGAACAATCAACAGACATCTGGATTTAGGGATATTTAAGGACCCTTTATATATGAAATACAAAACCTTCAATTCAAAAATAGACTAAATTCAACAATTTTATGTTTTATGTTAAAAGTTAGACTATTTCTTTACAAAATTGTAAAACTTAACCCCTGAATGGGTATTGTATGCAAAAAGTGGCCATTAGATGGCAGTCAAAAAACCTTTTGTGGAACTGTAGGCTGGCGTGCCTAGACACTATAGGCCTGCTTAGCCTATCAAGATAGAGTCTCATGCGCAGTCTGTGTTAGTCTGTCAGCTGTGTTCCCAGCATATTTTGATAAACTGCCTAGTAACAGCGTATTTTGATAAACTTCCTGGTAACAGCGTATTTTGATAAATTGCGGCCTGGTTACAATGTATTTTAATAAACTGCCTAGTATTAGCGTATTTTGGTAAACTGGCAGGTAACAACGTATTTTGATAAACCGTCTGGTAACAGCGTATTTAGATAAACTTCTTGGTAACAGCATATTTTGATAAACTGCCTGGTAATAGCGTATTTTGATAAACTGCCTGGTAACAGCGTATTTTGATAAACTGCCTGGTAACAGCATATTTTGATAAACTGCCTGGTAACAGCGTATTTTGATAAACTGCCTGGTAACAGCGTATTTTGATAAATTGCGGCCTGGTAACAGCGTACTTTAATAAATTGCCTGGAAACAGCCTATTTTGATAAACTGCCAGAAACAGTGTATTTTAATAAACTGCCTGGTAACAGCGTATTTTGATAAACTGCCAGATAACAGTGTATTTTGATAAACTTCCTGGTAATCTGCGATTTTTGATAAATTGCGACCTGTACAATCTATTTTAATAAACTGCTTAGTAACAGCGTATTTTGATAAACCGTCTGGTAACAGCGTATTTTGATAAACTTCCTTGTAACAGCATATTTTGATAAACTGCCTAGTAACAGCGTATTTTGATAAACTTCTTGGTAACAGCGTATTTTGATAAAATGCCTGGTAACAGCGTATTTTGATAAATTGCGGCCTGGTAACAGCGTACTTTAATAAATTGCCTGGAAACAGCGTATTTTGATAAACTGCCAGAAACAGTGTATTTTAATAAACTGCCTGGTAACAGCGTATTTTGATAAACTACCACGTAACCGTGTATTTTGATAAAATTCCTGGTAATCTGCGTATTTTGATAAATTGCGACCTGTACAATGTATTTTAATAAACTGCCTGGTAACAGCATATTTTGATAAACTGCCTGGTAACAGAATGTGTTGCGTAATTGCGTAAGAATGTTGTCCCGAGCCCCTTGTATGAACTACTCTGTTTGTATCATATAAGTGTGCGTGCAAACTGCGTTCTAGTTTTTGCTCAATAAACCTTTAACAGTGGATAGTTATCCAAATCGCAAAAAGAAAATTTGACAAAGGTCAAAAGGAAAAGATTATTTCCAACACCAATAAATTGATTATTGGTCGTAAAGTTTAAAAACAACTTTTTATCAAGGTTTAGGTTTAGGTGTAGGTTTAGGTGTAGGTTTAGGTGTAGGTTTAGGTTTAGGTGTAGGTTTAGGTTTAGGTTTAGGTTTAGGTTTAGGTGTAGGTTTAGGTGTAGGTTTAGGTTTAGGTGTAGGTTTAGGTGTAGCCGATTCAAATTTAGGTTTGTATAAAATCCATCATTTTTCTCAAGCCTTGCAAATTTCTACATTCGTTACCTTTCTTTTAGAACTGGTCTCTTTCGAGAATAATCAAAATATTCAAAGGAGTTGAGCCTTTGCCACAAACTCTGATTTTCTAATCCCAATATCTTTTCAACCCAATTTGGCAGACCTTAGATATTTCAAACTATGAATTATGTTTGATCAAATAATCTAAGTTTGAAATATCAAAGGTTTAGGCCAACAGGTTGGACAGATATAGGGATTAGAAAATTCTAGCGTATGGCAAAGAAAGACTCTTTAATAACTATTTATAATGCTGTCTTTTTTATTCGCAGTGTTTATAAAGTTTTTGGACAGAAATTTTCTCTTTATCAAGAAGTTTCAAGGTTTTTATGTTGTCCCGAGCTTTAGCAAGGGACAAAATATAATCTAAAAAGGCGAATACCTTCGAGATATAGAGAAAATTTGAGTCCAAAAACTTTATAGCATGTCGTGCCAAAATAATAGTGCTATAGGTAATTTTATGAAACGTTTGTGTACTCATGTCTTATTTCAATGGCTGTTTCTAGATCAAATAAGCTTTGAAATAAAGCAGAAGTCAAAATATAAAGTCAATTTCAATTTTATTTTCATTTTAATTGAAAAAAAAAAATATTTTAAAAATATCCTAATTTTTTTGGAGAAAATCCGAGAACCAAATCAAAACTTTATAGCACCTGCACACGTGCTATTATGTACAGCTAATTTAACATTTAAGCACGATGATTACTTTATAGCACGTCACGTCATTATGAAATTCACGATGAAGTGAGGAATAATGATAAAGCACACTATAGTAACATAAAAAAAGTTTTCAAATTTAAGATTTCTGTGTTTTAGACGATTTAACAATGATGCTGATTATAATGAGGCTCGGATAAAAGAAAAAATGTGGTTCGAATTCATACACATTGTGCTGCCGCGCTGGTATTTCTCCATTCGCGTCGCCCAATCGATGCTTGGAGAACTAATTTAGAATCAGGGAAAGAATTATTTTAAGATGCGCGGAGCCAGGGGCGTATTCAGGAATTTGTCCAGGGGCGGGCTTAATTTTTTTTCTTTCCAGGGATGGGGCTCAGCACCAGTTGGGGCATGAAAACCCCCTGAAATCAATAGCCCCCCCCCTCTGAATACGCCTCTGCGCGGAGCACCGTGAATTTAAAGTAGATATTTAAATTGTATTGGTTTGAATACAGATAATTACAAGTTTCCTGCCTAGCTATAATTAAATATTACGCATGATTAATGGGTTTGGACTTTGCAGCCTTGTATTTTAGTAGGAGGGACCTTCTCAAATTACTATAATCAAAAATGCAGTAAAATGCAAACGGTTCGGGGCTAAATACAGTGCAAACCCCCTTACAGATCTTCACCCTGCTAACATATATGCTGGTTACTATAATGCAACAACTGCAAATTCACTTTTTAAATGCATCGGTGCAGTATACATCATACGTATTTTGGGTAGGGTACAATACACATAGTTTGGGTAGGATACAATATACATAGTTTGGGTAGGGTAAATCATACATAGTTTGGGTAGGGTACAATTTACATAGTTTGAGTAGAGTGCAATATACATAGTTTGGGTAGGGTACAATATACATAGTTTGGGTAGGGTACATCATACATAGTTTGGGTAGGGTACAATATACATAGTTTGGGTAGGGTACAATACACATAGTTTGGGTAAGGTACAATATACATAGTTTGGGTAGGGTACAATATACATAGTTTGGGTAGGGTATACGATATACATAGTTTGGGTAGGGAAAATTAGAGTAAATGAGACTGTAAGTAGGGTAAGCTAGGTCAAATAAAGTAATAAAGATAGGGTAGGGTGGTGTGTAGAACCAGGGAAAGCATTGCACAAATGACTAAAGTTAGTAGTCATAACCATATGCGTTAAATGTTTGTTGTAAAGAACATTTTTTACCTATTTTTGGCAAAGGAGTTGTAGTTGGAGGAATATAGTTGTTTGGTTTTAGTTTCCCGTTAGGAGGCCAGATCTCAGGTGCTCCGTATACACTTCCTAACAGTAGGAACCATCCAAACCATACCTACATAAATATTCATCAAAACCTACATAATTAAATCAATTCATCATTCATTAGAACCTTATTCAAATTATTGATTCAGTTTCTAGGTTTATGTTTATTAAACCCTTTTTGTCAAACCGTAGCTGGGAACTGTAGAATGGTGAATAAATAATATCGAGATCAATGCTTGATCCTCTCTTTTTCTTAATCTCAAGACTAACCTAATCTTGTACTTGTATCCTGAAAAGTGTATAAAATTCAACCAATTAGAGTCGCATATCAGACGCCGGGAAATTTGAAATTTTGCACGCCATTTAAGAATAAGATTAATTTACAGAAACGGGAGAGACTCTCTAAGTTTTAAAAACTAGGTTTTGATTTTTTGTACTTTATCCAAAAAGAGTGGATTTAGCAAGAAATTAAAAGTGTCCGCATTGGATATTAGGATTAAACAGTCAGGTAACCCTTTCTAAAGTTTCCAGCCATGGTTTGATTTAGTTTTCTAAACTTAACTTTAAGAAACTGTAAGCGTATGTGAAGCTTCATACAAAGATGAAAATCCCCGATATACATCGGTACCCTTATATACCCTTATATACCCTTATATACCCTTATATACCCTTATATACCCTTATATACCCTTATAACTTTTATTGGTTCACTATTGTGAAAGATGTTTTCTTTCGTTTTCTTTTTTTAAATTGATTCTAGTAATTCATATACGTTTGTTGCTTTTGTAGAAAAAATAATTGTAGTTGAAAATAATCAGGTATCAAAAATATAAACATTGATATCTAATTCATACTTGATCAGACAAAGCTTTGAAAGGGAAACGTTGTAAATTTTGAAATTATCAATTAATTGTCACTTAAAATTACGCTTACCCTTCCTTTAAATAATTGTGTACCCTTCCTTTTCTCTCTCTTTAATCCTTTAAACTTTCTTCAACCCCCCCCCCCCCCTCCCCTTTTACCCAATCACTTGTAAACCCCACCCATCCATAAACCTAGTCCTGCTCCATGATAAGAATTTTATGAAACCATATTTGGAGCTTTCAATCTTTTTGCTGGGTTTTGTTTCTCGTTTATGGTTTGGACGAAAAACATGAGCGTTTAGCATACCGGGTTCCAACTTTACCCAGTTTTTATCCTAATTCCTCCTTCCTGTAGCCATTTATACCTTTTTTGCCCTATTCTACTATGTCCAACATTTTTAGATTAAAAAGGAGCATTAAATTATCTATAAGTACTTTTTTCTTGAGTTAAAAATGTGTAAATTTAAGAAAAACATTCGACATTCCAAAAATAACTATTTAAAAAATTAGATCTATCAATAGTTTTTAAGGTTCCAGTACAAAAATATAAATCTTTCATTATTTTTCCAGGATTCATCAGTTATCCGACATCTCTTGGTTCTCCAAGTTCCACAAGCTCTCCAGGTTCAACTAGTTCTCCAGGTTCCACTAGTTCTCCAGGTTCCACTAGTTCTCCAGGTTGCACTAGTTATTCAGGTTCCACTTGTTCTCCAGATTTCCTTAGTTCTCCAGGTTCAACTAGTTCTCTAGGTTCCACTAGTTCTTTATGTTCCACTACTTCTACAGGTTCAACTAGTTCTCCTGTTTCCACTAGTTCTCCAGGTTCAACTAGTTCTCTAGGTTCCTCTAGTTCTTTAGGTTCCACTGCTTCTACAGGTTCTACTTGTTCTCCTGTTTCAACTAGTTCTCTAGGTTCCACTAGTTCTACAGATTCAATTAGTTCTCCTGTTTCTACTAGTTCTCTAGGTTCCACTAGTTCTACAGATTCAACTAGTTCTCCTGTTTCCACTAGTTCTCTATGTTCTACTAGTTCTCCAGGTTCAACTAATTCTCCTGTGTCCACTAGTTCTTTATGTTCCACTACTTCTACAGGTTCAACTAGTTCTCCTGTTTTCACTAGTTCTCCAGGTTCAACTAGTTCTCTAGGTTCCTCTAGTTCTTTAGGTTCCACTACTTCTACAGGTTCAACTAGTTCTCCTGTTTCAACTAGTTCTCTAGGTTCCACTAGTTCTCCAGGTTCAATTAGTTCTCCTGTTTCCACTAGTTCTCCAGGTTCAACTAGTTCTCTAGGTTCAATTAGTTCTCCTGTTTCCACTAGTTCTCCAGGTTCAACTAGTTCTCCTGTTTCCACTAGTTCTTTATGTTCTTCTACTTCTACAGGTTCCACTAGTTCTTTATTTTCCACTACTTCTACAGGTTCAACTAGTTCTCCTGTTTCCACTAGTTCTCCAGGTCAACTAGTTCTCTAGGTTCCTCTAGTTCTTTAGGTTCCACTAGGTCTACAGGTTCAACTAGTTCTCCTGTTTCCACTAATTCTCCAGGTTCAACTAGTTCTCCTGTTTCAACTAGTTCTCTAGGTTCCACTAGTTCTCTAGGTTCAATTAGTTCTCCTGTTTCCACTAGTTCTCTAAGTTCTACTAGTTCTACAGATTCAACTAGCTCTCTTATTTCCACTAGTTCTCCAGGTTCTGCTAGTTCTCTAGGTTTCACTAGTTCTCTTGGTTCTACTTGTTCTCCAGGTTCCACTACTCCGGGTACCCTGCTACTACCACTATCCCTAGAGCCACCGAGTACAAAGAGTAGAGCAATCAACCCTGGGTCTTAAACCATTAAATGTTTAACTTAGTTTACGTGACCTGCACTATCAAACCTGTAATCTTTAATAAACTGAATACTAAACAATACGCATTCCTCAGTAATCATATACGAGTAAAGGGGTTAAAACGTAAAATTTTCTTTAATCACCTGAACTCTGCTGCAATTTTCAATTGCACACGGTATGCACTTTTCAAGATTTATTTACAAGCTGTATCGTAATTGGCAGTTGACCACCATTTTTTAGCACTTAATACTCGCAAATTAGGATATCTATCTTTATATTTTCATGATACCTGCAAATTTTGCAACGAGCTTGGTTGATACCTTTTTCAGTTTCAAGAATGCTTTTATTCCAAGACAAAGTGTCAAAATAAATTGATCTAAAAACATTTTTTGCGAAACCCCCTGGAAAAGAAATTGTGAAATGTGTGCATATTTTTCATAATTTGGTTTTGTATAAAACTACAGTTTAAATTTCAAGTCGTGCAAATGTAAAAATGTCCGAAAATTTAAGTGAGTATCGAAATTCCTAAGTTTTCCTTTTTGGGGTCTTTACATTCACGAAGATTTTAATCTAAGAACTCAGAAAACAAAAAGAAAACGTAAAGAAACCATATAAAATAAAAAATGTGCTTAAAAGAATATTGGTATCTACAAAATTGCCTTATCCCATTCATGAAACCTGGCTTTCGATACTGGGTTTCATTACGATACTCTCTCTTCAGTTTCGGGCTCTGGTGAAAAAATACTTTAATGTACCCGAAATCTGATTCATTTTTTTCGATTTGAATATTTCAATAATCTCGTGCAATGTTATCGAGTTTTAAAAAATAAGATTAAGATTTTGTTTTAAAAAAGATCAATAAAGGTGTTCAGGTCGTTAACGAAAAGTTGTTGTTAACGACTGCAGAGTCCTTGTTAAGGATCAGTCCTCGTCATCGATCAGTCCTTGTTAACGATCAGTCCTTGTTAACGATCAGTCCTTGTTAACGATCAGTTCTTGTTAACGATCAGTTCTTGTTAGCGATCAGTCCTCGTCAACGATCAGTCCTCGTCAACGATCAGTCCTTGTTAACGATCAGTCCTTGTTAAAGATCAGTCCTCGTCAACGATCAGTCCTCGTCAACGATCAGTCCTTGTTAACGATCAGTCCTTGTTAACGATCAGTCCTTGTTAAAGATCAGTCCTTGTTCAGGAACAGTCCTCGTCATCGATCAGTTCTTGTTAAAGATCAGTCCTCGTCAACGATCAGTCCTCGTCAACGATCAGTCCTTGTCAACAATCAGTCCTAGTCAACAATCAGTTCTCGTCAACGATCAGTCCTCGTCAACGATTTGACCTCGGTAACGATCTGTCCTCGTTAACGATCAGCCCTCGTTAACGATCAGTCCTCGTTAACGATCAGACCTCATCGACGATCTGACCTCGATAATAATCTGTCCTTTTTAACGATCAATGCTAAAGAACGTTGACTCTCTCTTACTTTGCTTAAATACTTGAAAGTGCAATACCTGAATTGTAGGATAAAACTTACATATATAATACAGATGTTCATCAATTGTCATCTACAGTGGTAGGCGATTATATCAATACAATGAAGACGACTTGCGAATTCAATTTTCATTTAATTAAGCTGTTAAACAGTATGGATACACAAAAACATGGAAGTCAAGAGAATTTATCAATGAAAAAGCTTCTATTTTATTACTTGTAAACTTGTAAATCGAAAAAAGCATGTTAACAATCAAAACTTAAATAATAAATTCGTCTTCATTGTATTGATATAATCGCTTGCCAATGTAGATGACATATGATGAACATATATATCATATATGTACAAGTTTTATCCTGCAATTAACTATTTTACTTTCAAGTATTTAAGAAAAAAGATAATGTATATTGGGATGTAATTACTTTATTATTATTTTAATATTTTCTATTCTTTACTCTGAAAAGTATTCTCATCTAATTTTGAGATTGTTTATGTGACATTTAAGAAAAGTTGAGATAAGTGCATCAAATTTAAATCTTTCAAATCTTGAATTTACTTTGATCTTGACAAACTTTTAATGTGAAGTTAGTTTAACTTAAGGGTTAAATAAACATGCTTTGCATCAAGTTTAAAGAACACTGCACTGCGAGTAGAAAGCCTTTTTTTAAGCTAAAAGCGTTATTTCAAGAAACCCTCTGCATAAAGATGACAATTCCTTATTTACAACGATACAATTAAAACCTTTATCTGATCAATACTGAGGAAAATATTCTCATGTTTCAACGTTTAAAAAGATTTAATTCTACTAATATCTTTATTTTTATTGAGAATCCTTAATTATGCAAAAATGAAATATTTTTTTAACTTAATGTCTTCCAAATCTGTTCCTGAAATCGACGCTGATGAATTGATGTTAATTTGCTTTTAAAGGGAGTGTTCGCGAAAAATGAAAGGGGGTATAGGCTTAATGCGATAAAGAAGCGCTTTTTATCGCTACTAATCTTACTTCTATCTGTTGCGTCTATAAGGAGAAAATTGTTAAAGACATCTCATACCGAAGAGCGTAGCGCCCATACAAAATGAGGAAGTTGGAACATACGACTTAGACCGTAAAAAAGTCAAATCAATATCAAACAAATCATTCAGATATTACAACCTTGTGAACCAAACAAAAGGATATAGGCTCGAAATGGAGATAAATAGGAGCTAAAGCAATGCAACTCGAAGCAGGAGGTAGGAGAATAAAAGTAAGAACGGGATATATATTCTCCAAAGTAAAGGCGCTTCTCAAGAATTACAAACTCTAGGCGGAGTCCCACACATATACGTAGACGATAACTTCTGGTGAAAATATATTTCAGTAACGAGGTTTCCTACAAAATACAGATTGTTATTGACGAACAAATGTGAATAATAATTGTTAATAAAATGTAACTATTTGATTGACGAACAAATGTGAATAATAATTGTTAATAAAATGTAACTATTTGATTACAACTAATTAAATGTTTATTGAAACTGATAAATAGGAATTTTAAAGGAAAGGTTCTGTTGTGAATCGACCAAGAAATATTTTAAGGTACTGATGGGAATTAATAAATGAAATATTTTAAATGGGTACTATTGTGAATCAAACATGAACTTACGATCTATTGTCGTATAGTACGGGAATAGTGGTTGGAATCGGAGTCTAAACTATTCAATTTCTGAAAAAAAATATTCATTTGGTAAAAAATTAATTCACTATTAGTTTGCAAAATGATTCACTGAATTTTAAGCGTAAATTGTTTCTATTTTTTACGAATTTAAATCTTATTGTTGCACGAGGATTTTGTTTACGTTTATGCAGAAACCTTGAACAGTATTTGGTTTGGAGCAGAAAGTGGACGAAGGTTTGACGGAGGTGTAGTTTGTCAAAGACGACTTTTAAGACAGGGTAGTTTATGGGATATGGTTCACAAACCTATAGTCATCGATTATCTTTCGCCACATTTGTATATATTTGATATTTCATATTAGTTTTGATTTTTTTTTTGAAATAATATTTAGCTTACAACTTGTTTTCGAGCATTCCTGGAAAATATGAAAATGTCGTCTTCATTACCAAAAATCTTCGAAACAGGAATAAACGTTTTTATAAGTAACTCTCAGATCATAACAATTAAAACATATTATGAAAAATCAACTATATATAAATGTGGCGAAAGATAATCGATGACTTTAGGTTGAAATATCTGAATGATTTGTTTGAAATTAAATTGATTTTTTTACTGTCTAAGTCGTATGTTGCAATTTTCTCAATTTGTATGGACGCCATGTTATTCGGTATGAGACGTCTTTAACAATTTTCTCCTTATAGACGCAACAGATAAAAGTAAGATTAGTGGCGATCAAAAGCGCTTTTTTATCGCATTAAGCCTATACCCCCTTTCATTTTTCGCGAACACTCCCTTTAAAGAAAATAAAATCTGAATCGCTTCAGACAAATGCCACAGTTTCGAAATCGTCATAATCCACTACTTCAGGAGAGGTGCAGTTAGTACTTGTATAAGTTAACAGAGCAGTTTCTGACTGATTTTCTTCATTTTAGTTATTTTTCTGCATAATTTTATTCAACCCCCCCTCCACCCTCCCCCATTCCAATCCATTACTAACTTTAGATATTTTAAGAAAGAAAAAACTTATTCTTTCTGATAAATATAAAACAATAATCTTGCAAGTTAATCCGGTGCAATAATGTTTGTTCATTTCTTTAACTGGCCAATACATATTTTTGAAAAAGAAAAAGACTCTATGAATTTTAGTTTCTGTTTGGTTCGCTGGTTAAATAGTTCCAGAGAACTGAAAGGACGAATCAAACTTTAAATCCAAGTTTAAACATCTTTTTGAAGTTATAAACCATGAACCTGAAACAGGTTTAGATGTTCATGCTTTTCATCCTTTTCATCCTTATAACTTCAAACAAATGTTTATTTTGAATGAACAAGAATTTCAAGCATTTTAAAAATGAGGTTAACCTAAGCAAATAAGAGATAAGATGTGTAGACCTAAAACCAATAAGAGATAAGATGATCTGACCTAAACCAATAAGAGATAAGATGTGTTGACCTAAACCAATCAGAGATAAGATGAGCTGACCTAAACCAATAAGAGATAAGATTTATTGACCTAAACCAATCAGAGATAAGATGAGCTGACCTAAACCAATCAGAGATAAGATGAGTTGACCTAAACCAATTAGAGATAAGATGAGTGGACCAGAGATAAGATGAGTTGACCTAAACCAATCAGAGATAAGATCAGTTGACCTAAACCAATCAGAGATAATATGAATTGACCCAAACCAATAAGAGATAAAATGAGTCAACCTAAACCATTAGGAGATAAGATGAGTTGATCTAAACCAATCAAAGATAAAATGAGTTGACCTAAACCAATAAGAGATAAGATGAGTTGACCTAAACCAATTAGAGATAAGATGAGTTGACCTAAACCAATCAGAGATAAGATGAGGTGATGTAAACCAATTAGAGATAATATGAGTAGACCTAAACCTATCAGAGATAAGATGACTTGACCTAAACCAATCAGAGATAAGCTAAGTTGACCTAAACCATCAGAGATAAGATGAGTTGACCTAAACCAATTAGAGATAAGATGAGTTGACCTAAACCAATTAGAGATAAGATGAGTTAACCTAAACCA